CGAATCGGCAAGGTAGATACGGCTCTATAAAACACTGATTCCCCACCCGGAAAGTCAAGTAGCCCGGCCTGATGTTCATTAGCAAATAAACCCAGCCGATATCTAAATAAGTGCGATACTCCCTCGGCTTCTCCTCATCAATCAAACACTCGCCATACCGAATGGAGAACTGCGGAAAGCAAGTGGAGAATGCCCAGCACTTGTGGACCTGTAACTGCCTCATGATATCAGAGAATCCTCGGCCTTCCCACTAGCCATTTTCAAGCAGCTGTAGTAAGGGAACAGAGTGGTCCATGGCATGCGGTACCGACATCATGTCAGAACGATGGAGGACGAACCAAGCATTCAAATAAACATACGGAAGCTCCACCTTAGTGGTAGGAATCTGAGTCGGCGATTCCTTCTCCTCCCGTGTAAAAGCGCCAGAAATTTGTCGAAGCCCTCGATGAATGTTAGCCACCATCACCGGAAGAAGGGAAAGTTCCTTTCTGTAGGCAAGTTGAACCGCAGGGTAGAGCACTTCCAGTGGCAGAGCGTCACCAGACTGATACGGGACCACGCATTTCTTTAACCAGATAGCGAGGTAACCGGCAAGAAGAGTCATCGGACGAATCGGTGCGGTCGCATGACATAAGAACGATCTGAATTTAGTCCCTGCAGGAAAGCCGCTCTCGGAACTGCTAATGGTATAGGATTGGGCGTTAGTCTTATTCAGCAGCTCATTAACCTCTGAAGGAGTCAGCGGTGCCAGTTCACAAATAGCTTTGCCAGAATGGCTCTCTAGATTCCTGAACAAATATGATGCGAATTGCTTCAGGCTCACATTTGATTTGGTCCTCTTCGCTAAGGGCCTAGACTGCGCCAAAGCAATGTGATAGTGACAAGTGAGGTCCCATAAGGTCTCGTAACGGTCGGGCATGCGATCTTTCAGCTGACTCAGTTCATGGTTGGAAGGAAAATACTCCTGGTATAACATCTGACCCATGGGCAAACCAGAAATCTTATGCATCTCATGAAGAGCCAAACCCAACTCTCCGTGCCTAGTCAGAAAGGTGTTCGAGTCCGGATTATAAAGCTCGCATAAGGCAAAGAAATGCTTCGCACTAACGGGTAAACCATGCATGGTGGCACGAATGGCTGCATAAAGACCACAAGCATGCAACTCCTCGCTCCATCGACTCAAGACGTACTTCGTCATACGAGCCCACCAAAACTTGTCCAAAGAATGGACCCAACCATAGAATCTGTGGCGCGGCGCAGGCATCTCCCGTCCTAAGTTAGCGAGGCGATTCCTCAAAGTGGAAGCAGAGGCAAGGAACTCGTTACGGGGCGATGCATCTAGCCCCAGTACTCCAGGACGCAGTCCAACAATGTGATTCCTGCTCGAACCAGGAACTGCCTGATGAGTAATGTAGCCGCAGTGAACGCTCTCATGCTCCTCTGTCAAACGCCACGACATCTCCCGCTTCACAGCCTGACGCCTGAGCTCAGTCAAAGAACGATGTCGAGGAATCCTCGGCAAATACAAGAAACTACTGCCAGCCTTATGAAGCCACTGCTCGGCGTCAATAAATGCTGCATCGGGATCTCTGACAGAATCGCCAAACAAGAAATCAGTCTTCCTGAGAGACTGAACAGAACTAGCATCCTTCACGAGGGGCGCATCTGTAATCAGCTGACGAAGGGCTCGATGTCCACCTTCCTTCACCACTTGGGCAACCTCTGTCGACGTGCCCGGAACAAACTGGGAAGTAGGTGGAATCGGCGAAAAATCATCAGACGTCGAATAATATTCGTCACGACGTCCATTCACCGCATGCGATGAAAAGGCTCCGGAAGGATACTCCACTGAAAACAAGCAATTAAGTGTTTGTTAATTT